TAACTAGATAATGAATGCTTACTAAAACAAACTCTGCATCCTATTATCCAAATATACTTTCATTACAAATAAATTTAATGAAATTACGCATGAGAATATACCTACTTTCTAGAGCACCATATTCTCAAAATCCCTAACAGGAATGACATGATTGGAGTATCAACACATGAGATGTGTTAGGAATGGTTCTAATTTCTTGGATAATACTTTTGGAATCATCACCAAAAGAAACACTACCACACTTTTTCCTATCAAGCTTAGCAAATAAGTTTTTATTACTGGTCATATATCTCGAGCAACCACTGTCCAAGTACCAAAGTTGCCTTTTCTCTGATTGAGCTTCAAAACATTACTCCTTTTGTCTTTACTTAACTTACAAAATAGATTTTTAGTTTTTCTTTGAAGGTACCCATACTTTCATGGGTCCTTGAGGGTTAGCAATAACATGGGATCCTTTTAGAACCCAAAACAATTTGGTTTTGGGAAAGATTCTATTAGAATGAAAACATTCATAGGGCAAATGACCTTTCCTACCGTACATAATAGTGACATGAGACATCGTTAATTTTCTTTCTAAGGCTTCTTTTTCTTTAAAAGTCTTATTCATCTTTTGATTTCAAATTTTGTCTTTCTTCTTTATCAACTTTAAGTGTAGCATTTTCATTAATAACTCTTTGTAATTTTAAAATTTTTCTTTCCAATTCAAGCTTCAAGAATTTAGAATCAGTTTTAGATTATTCTAGTTCAATTTGAAGCATATTCCTTTAATCAAAAGCAGAGTTGTACTCATGTTTGATTTTTTCTAAGTCTTCATTCAATGCAATAGCCTTTTTCATCATAGTCTTATATTTTGGAACAAGTTCTTCAAATTCAGCATATAGATAATCATATTCATCTTTCAAATCATCATAAGAAATATCACATGAATTAGAAGTTACCTCAATTTCCTCTTCCTTTGCCATCAAACAGAAATTGGCTCTATCTTCCAATTTTTCTTTTTTTTTTTGAACTTGATGAATCATTATCAGATCATGTTGCTGCCACCTTTGCTCTTTTTGGTTTTTTCATTTTCTTTGAGGTTTCTTCTTTAAGTGATGGTCGTTTTGATCTAAAGTGTCTTGGTTTTTTGCATTCAAAACACGTCATCTCATCTTTCTTGCTGAAATCACCTTTGTGCATATTTTTCTAAAAGGGCCCTTAATACTTTTTATAATTTTTTTCTTTCAAACTTTCTACCTTTTTGTCTCATTAGCTTTTCATATCGTTTGGCCGTCATGGTTTGCTCTTCATCATCATCACTTAATAGCTCTTCTAATTCCTCCTCAAGTAAACTAATCTTGAGTACTAAATTTTTCTTCTTCTCTTTGGCTTATTTCTTTCCCTCATCTTCTTCTTTTTTCATTTCAAGCTCATGTGTAAGGAGTGAGTCACAAATGTCATCAAGTGTGACCACATTGAGATTTTGGCCTCTCAAATAGCTATGACTTTAGGTTTTCAGGTTTTGAGGAGACATCTAAGTAATCTTTTTATTGGCTCATGTTCAGGAATGGTTTTACCAAGTTGATTAAGCTTGTTTGTAATATTGGTAAATCTATCAAACATAGTAGTGACATCTTCACCCGATTCCATTTTAAACATTTCATAATTATGGGTGAATAAGGTAATTTTATAATCCTTTTCTTGTGATGTCCTCTCACGAATGACTTTAAGTTTTTTCCAAATCTCTTTGGTTGTTCTACAACTAGAGATTTTGTTGAATTCTAAAGGAGTAAGTGCATGATAAAAGGTGTTTATGGCTTCAAAATTTGTTTGGACTTTTTAACTTTAACCTCAGTCCACTCAGCTTTTGGTTTAGGTATTTTTTCACCAGTAACAAAACTAGGTAAAATGGGAATATAAGGTCATTTTATAATAATATCTCACATTTCATAGTCAAGGGCTCTAATGTATATGGACATCCTATTGCTTCAATAAGCATAATTTAGATCTATCAAATAGAGGATGCCTATTTATGGATTAACCCTAAGTAACAACTAACTTTTATAAAGCCATGTGGATCTCCCTTAAGTATGTTAAGTCTTAATTTTAAAGGTATGGCTTTGATACCATTTGTTGGTCCTATTCAAGTGCTAGAGGGGGGATGAATAGCATTAGAATTTTCTGCTCAGCCTTTTAAAGGTTGAAAAGCTTTTAATCAACTAGATAAATGAAATGACTAGAACTTATTAGGATTACAAGACACCAAGTAAGGAAAGGTAAAGAGAAGTGGATAGTGCAAGAGTATTTATAGTGGTTTAGTCCCTGTGACCTATATCTACTACCTTGATCTCCCAATTAAGAATTTTCAACCCAACTTCACTATACTAGTGGAATTAATAGCTTTTACCAAGCTTTCACAAGGTGAGCTTCTAACCCAAGCTCTAATCCTTTACAACAACCTTTAGAGTGCTTCCCACACTTTAATTTTTCAAGAAAAAAAAAGAAAAAAAAGTATAATTAAGTACCTTGACAAGTCTAGGCAGATTACAATCAAGCTCAAATACATTTTCTAGATTTAGAGTGAAGAACAAGTGTTCTTGGTGAAAAATGTTTGACTTTTTGCTCGAAGTAGCTATTTTTCCTTCAAATCTACTTTCTTTGACAATTGGAGCTGTTCTTTATACTTGGGAAGTCAGATTTTTCTGTTAGAGATAATTTCTAACCATTAGAAACAACTCTGATGCACTTTTAGCCATTATTTTGTCATTTCTTGTTTAAATTCAAAAAGGCTAACAAATTTTGGCTAATCGATTATAGGCAGTTCTAACTGATTATAGCTTTTCTACTTTGCACTGTTCTACTACTATGTTCTCTACTCTAAACGATTACAGGAGGCTTAAACCCATTACGAGTTTTCTGTCTTTAGACTTCTTTTTTTTAGCAGACTTCTTCTAATTGGTTATGATAGGCTCTAACCGATTACGAACTTTTTGTTTTCACTTTTTTATACAACAATCTTCCTTTAATTGATTGAAGCTTTACTTCAACCATAATCGATTAAAATCACTTTTAATTAACTAGAAAATTTCAAATTTTGAACTTCTCCATTTTAGCTCCCTTCAATGGTCAACTATATTTTCAAACTTTCTTTTACCGCTTGAAGATACTAGGACCTTGTGCTCTAACCAATTAACCAGATCTCTTAACCAATTAGCATATTTTTATTTTGCTTCAACTTATCATACAGCCTTGCCTTAGCTAATTAAGGTCCCGTAATAATTAGTTACTACGGTTATGTTTTTGTTCATTATTTGTTTTTTCCTTTTTAATTGATTAACTCATCATTAAACTTAGCAAACTCCTTGATTTGCTTTTAATTAACAACTTTGTCAGGAGAATACAATTAAATCCTGCACACTTAAATAGTGAAGTTAAACATTAATGAATGAGGAATATTTTATTATCATAAAAAACATATAGAGTCAACACTAATATCATTGTAGCTAAGTTTAAATGTGAAGTTGATCTATTTGAGCCTCAATTACTTCATCATACATTTTTCATTTACATTTCACTTCCTTTGGAATTGATCCTATAAACCTTACGATTGATTTCACTTGAAAAATATTATCTTTCTCTTTTGTGGGATTGATTTGAATCGATCTCACAAAATATCATTATTTTATTCAACTATTTTCCATCGAAGCATTATTCAACTATTTGTGTTTTGTAAAGAAAAACACTATTCATTATTCATTATTTGTCTTTTTCTCATCTCTATTCATTATTCTTTTTTCCAACAAAGCATTATTAACTATTTTTATTCAACTATTTCATAAAGCTCGTATCATCTATAATCGTTTTTATTAGATAATATAATTTTAATATAATACATAATAATTAAGGTCAATGAAAGAACACTTTTGTTATATAAACTAGAAAAAAAAGTCTTCACAAATGAAAACATTTGATTTCTTTTAATTTCTAATTTACAATTTGTTCACTTAATAAATTAACCAATATAATAATATGATGAGAAATAATTAACAAAAAAGAGTTTTAATATAAAAAAATTATTTTAAATGGTTTACATAATTGATGAATATTGATATTTTTATATTATCATAGTAAAAAGTTATTGAAAAGATTAATATTTTGATAATGAGTCATGATAGAAAATATTCCTGATAATTTATTTAAATAATAAAAAATATAAAAATATTTTACATAGAAAAACAGGTTATTTTCCTATTTCTAGGGGTTGTTTTGTTTGAAGTTCGAATATTCAAGTCTCCCGCTCCAATAACTCATGACCGTTGGCAGGCACAGCACTGTCCTTCCCTTTTTTTTTTCTGCTTATTGGTCAGTCATTTTGACAAACAGACAGAGTCACTGCTTTGTTTCCCATTTCCATCATTTGCAGCCACAGTTATGTTGATCAGACTCAGAGTAGTGTAGTTATCTGAGAAATCAAATGGGAAGGCTTAGAGTCAAATCCGACTACGAAACTCTTAGGAACGCTCGCATCGTTGAGAACCAGGTCCATCTCCCCTTTCTCTTGTAGTAAATTGCACTCTTACTTTTTTCCCTTTGTCTTTTTCTTTGATGGATCATGATCCTGAAATCTGACACAGGCTCGACTAGCTTCTCTGGGACTGCACAAAACCATCTCCGAGCTCCGGTCGATAGTTTCGTCTGCAAAATCAGAGAAAACCCAGCTCAGAAAATGGCAAAAGAAAGACTACGAAATCACGCCTTTGCGCCGCTCCAATCGTTTGAAACGAATTCCCGCTTCCTCAACTCGTGCAAGCAATTTTTTGCGGCGCTCTAGCCGGCTCAGAGGTGAAAACGATTCCGTTGAGTCCTCGTTTCCTACAAAATATATATATACACTAATATTTCCCATTTTTTATTTAATATGAAAAGGTAGGGACATTGGCGAAGAAAATGGGAGTAATTCATCTTTGGGCGAAGGTGAAGAAAAAAGGCCTGCAAATGCGCCATTGGTGAAGATATATGGTGCCAGGCATCAATTATCGCCCGAGGATTCTGCTCGGCGCTGCCGTCGCAAGGAGGGGAGAGGCAGCGTTTACAACTCTGTTTTCGGAATTTGCTGCCATTTCTGCAGGTTTATTTCTCTATTTTTGTTCCCCTGGTTGGGTTATTTCTGCATTCTTATCACGAGGTCTAGCTGTCAGTCAGTTGAATGCAGTCTCTAAAAATGGCAATACCAATACAAGAATTATGCTATTGGCAATTTCCTTCACGATTCATTACTCTCTGCAGTTGCATTTTGTTCATTTGGTCATCTTTAACAATCATGACTTTTCTTTCTGTTTTAATTGCTTTCATACTTTGATTTTTACTTTTGGAAGTAGCAAAAGAAAAGCTTGTTTGGGAATAAAGATGAGAAACCATAAACCCAATTTTATTGAAGAATTAAAGATAAAAATTTTATTCTTTTAAGATAACAAAACCCAAGATTTTACCTTGAACATGCAAATATGCAGGCAAAAGACATTGTGTGCTGAGGAAGACTGCAAGCGATGTGGTAATCTTGACGTAAATCAGCCGTGCATAGGTTAGTTTTATCAATGGAACCACTTGCACACTTCTTCATTTTAAACTAGATCAAGTAATATTATTAACCATTTTCACAATATATATATATATGTCAAACAGGAAAGACAGATTGTTCAGTTTGTCACTCTAGCAATGGTGTTCTCTGCCGGGCTTGTCTCAAGCTCAGGTACGGTGAAGGTAAGATCAGTACTGTAGTTATAGAAAGAAAAAAAGATTATGATTCTGTGAAGAAGGAAAAGGGTGGAAGTGGTGATTTTTGATGTTGTGATGATGTTATAGTCTTACAAAAATACCATAGCCAAGCAAGGAAAGGAAATAGTTTACAGGCTACGGTTGTCATTTTTTGTCAGAACTGGAGGAGGTAAGAGAAAATAAGGAATGGATGTGCCCTCACTGCATAGAAGAAAAAGGAATTAACCCTTATTGGATATGTAACAGGTACGTGACTCATCATTTTACTGTGTGTGTGCGTGTGTGTGATTGAGAATTTGTGTTGTTCTCTGATTCATTTTTGCTCTATTAATAGTTCAATATGCTTGAAGAATCGAAAGATAGCTCCAACTGGCATAGCAATTTACAGAGGTTTGTCTTAATACCTGTCTTCGTCGACTGGCTACGCATTTGCAACTGATAATACTGAGTTCCTTGTTTTTTCCTTATCTCATCAAATTCAAAGCTCTGGAGCTGGGGTACAAATCAGTTGCACATCTGCTGATGGATGAGCTTCTGCGTAAAGATCCTTCTCGATTGAGATGCAGCCAGTCACTAACAGCCTAACAGGTGCTTACAGCTTCCCTTTTAGGTATTGTTCATATTGCTGACAATGTTATGGAAATCTACATTTCTGTAACGGAATGACTGTACTTGAGACCAACTTTTCTATCAATTTACCTCTGTTATTTTCAATCATGTTTAACGATGCCATGTTCTTGCTAAAGTGTGGAAAAGAACTTTCTCTTCAGAAGATTTTCTCTAGATTCCAAACGTTGTAAAATAACATTTTGTTATTTGGAACACCAAACTTTGGAAACTCAGTATCCATTAATCTTTACAGAAGGGGCCTTTTATGATCACATGTCAAAAAAAGAATAGCACAACCATTTCATTATTTGTCACAGAACCGTATCTTTCAATGCATACTAGCTAGCCTGTTGCGAGATAAGGACAAGAAGCCCTTGAGGGCCAAGGAGGATCTCGTTAAGGAAACTGACCAATCCGAACCACACTACAGGAGTTACATCCACTCCTCCAAGAGGTGGAATCAACTTTCTGGTTGCGATGAGAAATGGTTCAGTGGGAGCATAAGCAATGACAAATGGAAATTTCTCCAGTGGCAGCTTAGGGTACCAAGACATCACTATTCTCAAAATAAATAGAAAGGCAAATGCTGAGAGAAAGGGCCCTAAAATACTAATTGCCAGTTTAGCTGTGGCAGGATCCAAATCTGCCAGTAACAATCGCCTAGTGAGATCTGAGGTAACATCTGGTGATACTTGCATATTGAGATTAATATTTCTTGCAATACCAAAAATGTATGGCGGCTCCCCTGAAATGATTAACTTGGATGGCAAGAGTTCAATAGTAGAAATTGTAGCTCCTTGGCAACAATATGTGCTGGACCGTGAGACTCGACGGCCATGATATGAACTTCTCCTGGTAGGATATTTGAATCCTTCCTGTGTAAGATAAATATTAAAGATTTAGAAACATAACAGGTAAAGTTCATGAATGTTAACACAAATGATAAACTTAGTTTGATAGTCTATATGATTTGACTCAATTTACTTTTCCTTTTATTTCCTTCCATTTTTACTCATCCTCTAAAGTATTTGTTGAGACTATAAATCTTCAACAGAGCAGTTGAAACTTATGATTTTCTGGCAAAATCCAACAATATGCAAAACAAACTTAAAGTCTCAAATTATGAAAGGAAATTTTCTAAAAGACCATGATCTCTGCTATGCTCCAGATCAGTACCCAGTATAAATTGGGAGACCTAAGAGAATCTAATAGAAAAGAGAATAGGTTACAGTGGAAAATAATGTGACATGTAAATTTCAACACAGTAAAGGACACTGAGGAAAGTTTTGATTTACAAAAACTTTCCAATAGTCTTCAAGAATATAAGTTTCAGCTACACCATCTGAACTTACTAGAATCACAACATTGCAAGGACAACAATAGTGGCCAAGGATGCAGAAAATTCTATTAGCATGCAGAATCTAGTCCTGTTGGAAAAGGATGACTGTAGGACTAACAGAAAATTCTATTAGATACTGTAGGACTAATAGATATGCTAGAACTCAATGATCAACATGCTACTAAGCACTACTACAGCATATCAACATGATTTTGACATTACAGACACAAGGAGTATTAGAATCAGATAGCGAGATCAGCAATGAATGGGTATCACACAACTGTGTGGTCATAACCCATGCTAATTGAAGGATAGACATCGATGGCCATTTGGCATTAAGATCACCAAAGCCTTAGCAGGCCTTAAGGACACAGATTAATCAAAACAAATAAATAAGGATTCTGGACAGGCATAAAGGGACAGGAAAAAAAGTTTTCAAATAGTATCCTGAGGTTATAATTCAGATCAATGACTTGATAAAATTAGAACAACTTTTAGAAGGATCTAGAGCAGAGGAGAGCCAACCCTAAAGAAACAGAATTTAGCCAACTAGACATTCAACAGCTTGGATTGGAAGCCCATCAAGAAGAATAGCACACTCATCAATATGTTGCAACTGCATTTTTGTGCTAAGGTAGATGCTCAAGTTAAAGTTGACATGGTTTTTGTTGAGATTTTCGAGTTTTTAACTATGGGTTTGAGGGAAGTTTTAGGCTGACATTGGTGTTGTGCATGACTAATACTGTGCTGAAGGGTGCTAGGTTGCTAGCATAGGGTATTAGGGTAAAAATATCCAATGGAATACCCTATGCTGATTTAAGGCAAGTAAAAGAAAAGAGGGAGAAAGGTACAGGGCATCAAGGTATGAAAAAGCATGCCAAATAAACTTATCAACAAGTGAAATTCGGCGAGCATGGCAAAGACAATTATATGGAAGCCCTTATAAAGAAAACCACATAAGGAAATTGCCAAGAAATTAAAATAAAATCATAGGAAGAATCCTTTGAATTCAATGTACAAATCCCTTCCTCTATAAGCCATATTCTTCAGCATTAAATGTGGAATTCCTTTCTTTATAAGCCCCATCCTTTGAGTTTAATGTGAAATCCCTTCCACTATAAGCCACACTTCTTACCAAGCAATCAAATCCCTTGTCTCTAAGTCATACTCCTCCACAAGCAATTAGAAGGTGCCTCAAATTAAAACCTAAGTTCACATGGTAGCAGCATATATAAGGATCCAAGAGAGGCACTTCAATAAATGCACTAAGCATCTAAACCGTTACTTGTATAGGAATATAGGAAAAGGTTGAAATAAAAGAAACAAAAGTTAGACTATTATAAAACTCTCATAGAGATTCACTCCTACTTAGAACAAATCCCAAAGGACTGAGGAAGCTTATATCTGAAAATGAAATGGAAGTTTAAATGTTTGAGTAAAGCAAGAAAACAAGGGGTATTGTACTTCCTGTATCATAGAAAGAATGAATTTTACTTTAATTTGCGAGCTATTTTCAATGTTAAAATTTTAAAAATCACTAAAAATATACATGTCAATTTGTTAAGAAAAAAATCCACAGCGCCAACAAGCCAACAACAAGCAAGTAATAAACAACAAGCAAGTAATAAACAACAAGCTCATTGAAAGGGCAAACACCAACAAAATCGCAAAATTGCAAAATCAAAGAATTCTAAGCCTCTGTTTAGAAAAAAAATGCCCATAACCTCCTGTCCTTTATATGCCAATCTAAACCTACCAATTCAAAGCTGTGCAATTAGACACAATTGGTTTGTATAACCTGGCAGTGCCAATAGAATTCCATTTTGGGCTTGTGTTGCAGCAAATCTCAATTCTTCTACAGAACCCCTAATTATGGTGTTGGTGTCATGAAGAGTGAATGCCATTGCAGCGGCCTAATCAAGAGGGTTGCAACAAATAGTATTCTTACTTGTTCATTCGAAAATATTTTCCTTGTAGCAGTGCATTGTGTTCAGTCACTATGATAAACTTTTATTCTTATCATTTTCTTCATCTTCAGCCTTTTGTCCATTTAATATGGATTTCTGCACTCAGACTTATTTTTAATTTCCTTAAAATTTTTATTGAGGCAGTATATAAAACAGTATTAATTTTGTTGAATTCTATTGATAGTATTGTACTTGCCCTATATTCTTCTTTTTCATGTTGTGTTGTAATGAAGCATTTACACAGGTCCTATCAGATATTGGGAAACAAACTATATAAGATCACCTTGGTGAGGCAGGTTTACAAAGAGGATGTGATGAATCAGGCGGTGCTTCACCGGAGGCAAGCTCATAGTGAAATCTACTGCTCACTGCAAGTATTGAATGACCAGTTTTATATTCACCAGTAATCTCACATCTACCTCACCCTACCCAACTGTTTTTTATTTTTTTTCTGTGGGTGAATGCATAGGGGGTTAGGGTTGTTTTGTGGTGAACATGCTTAAAAATGAACTTCTACCTTGTACTTCTACCCTTAAAAATAAACAAACTAAAAGCAAACAAACACAAAGTATTGGCAAACAAAGCAGTTCAAAGATAGTATCTAATTATCTAACAACACTGACAAACCATTCTCACTATCCATTAATCTAGAGTTGGTTACTCAAAGAACCAATTAATATGGTGCCGTTTCCCAAACTAAAGACTGTTCTTCCACGCTCCCATCATTAGCAACATTATTGCAATGCATGCTCAAAAAGGAAAAACTCCAATACTGAACATAGCTATTATCCCGTGACAAATATAACCGTAATCATGCCGGGAAGTGAGGACTTACAGAGATAGCAGAATTCTCTTTCTTCACTATCAGAGGTCGCCATTCTGAGTAAAATTTGAAAAATTAAAAAAAGAAAAGGAAATTAAGTTGTCAGAGGAAATTCCCTGTTGGGTTTTTTCTTTCTCCCCCATCACTCTGGGTTCTTCCTAGAATCACAGACCGTTAAAAAGAAGAAGAAGAAGAAGAAGAAGAAGAAAGTAATGGTACCTTTAACGAGGATGTGGCTTAAAAGGTAAGAAGACGTTGCCATTGGTGAGAGCAGAATGAGAGAGGGAACGTTATCTTGTCTTGAATGGGTTTGGGTAATGTAAGAAATGGAGACAGGGAAAGTCCAAAGAGAGAAAAGGCAAGGTCACTAAAAATAGAGAAATGCAATAGTACCCAAGCCTTTCTCCTTTACAAGAAAAATCAATTAAATTTTTATAATTTTATAAATTTAATTTAATTTTTATATTTTTATAAATTTAATTTAATTTTTATATTTTTATTTTAAATTAAATAAAATTTTACCATTAATCATTAACTAATTATTATTAATCGAAATTAAAACTATCAATTTAATATCACGACATCAATTAATGTGTTATTTTAAAAGATGATATTATCAAGTGACAAATAAGGTAATCAATATATTGCTGATTGAATTTTTAATTGCTAACTTGACTTTTAACTTTTTATTCGGTCACATAATTTAAAATTATTGATTAATATTTTTTAAAAAATATATCAAAATAACTTAATTGCTAAACAATCAAATCAGTTGCTAAGAACATTTAGGTGAAGTTTGATATTTTGCAAAGAAATATGACTGTTGAGAATGTGATTGGTGAATATGTGTGCTTGGTGATATAATTATTATTATTTTTTTCAAAGATCTAACAGGTTAGAGATAGGAAATTTCGAACTTTAAAGATCCAAGAGGCACAATAAGCTTTGATTCAAACAAAAAAAAATTGGCTCAAGGATTCTCATAAAGATTGAAGGTGGTTCTGAATCACTCCAAATGAAGTGATTTTTAGACCAATAGAGTGCTAAAAGGAAGAGATACAACTTTTATGTTTACCACTTTTCTCAATTTTGATTAGATCATGGTAAAACAATTTGTCTAAATTGGAGCACTACAGTAGTATGCATGGACTGAACATGATGCCGTATTTAGAGGATGCCTTTCAAATCCAGAAGTCAAATTAAAGTGATTATTAAACCATAGGAAATTCAACAGACAGGGCTAAAACTTTTATATTTACTACTTTGCCTAGTTTAGACTAGATCAAGGTGAAAATCACATTCGAAATGAATAGATTGCAACAACACTAGGATAACAAGGCTACAGCGTTGGTGAAAGAAAGCTTACTATATATTTTCCTGAGAGCTCAACATTGCAGTGTTGGAGAAGTAGTGACGCAGCACTATTGTAGCAAAAATTCAGCACAGTAGTGCTAAGAAATCAAGGCCGCTACATTGGGGGATTTTTCAAAAATAAAAATTTGATGGAATTTTAAAAATTAGGTTACTTAGAGCGTATTTAAGAGACCTTTTTCAGAGGTTTAAAGGGCGAGGCAGCAAGCAATTATTTTGGAGATTTGAAGCCAAGAACAAAGTAAAAAAACAAGAGAATTTGAGAGAGAATTGAGATCATAAAGCTTCAACACTTAGTTTCATTCTTTACTTGTGTTTCTTTTTTTTTTTGACTTGGATTCATGGTTAAATTTCTTTGGATGTTGTTTTTGTTTGTTATTATGAGCTACATTATCTTTCTAAGATTGTGGTGGATTTCAACATGTAGTTTGAATATTATTTTCTCTTTTATTTATCATCAATGGGTGTAGTTTTGTTTATTCAAATATGTGTTTAATGCTTTTTATTGCTTGGCCAACAATTAATTAATTTGTGAATCTAATTGAAACTTGATAGAGAGATTTTATATTGGACTAAGGTTTGAATAGTATATATTCACATCACTTAGGTGATCTGATTCGTGATTTGAGTAAACATATGTCAATTGCAATACATAGCCACATTAGGACACTTGCTTAATGAACTTAATTTTATTAATTCCTATAGACATATAGTGAACTATTTAAGTTAGATATTTGTGAAAGAACTTAATGGAGACTTGTCCATAACATTGGATTCTAGGTTAGTAAAACCACCCAGGAAAGATAAATAACAAGAAAAGCTAGTATCCGATAAAATGTTGAATGAACCCATAATCTTAGGGCTTTAATATATTACTTTTCTCAACTTATTTAGTTTGTTAGTTAATTTAGTATTTATTTTAATTTTATTTTAATTAATTTTTTATAAATTTTGATTACTTAAATAAGATTGATTTGTTATAAGATTTTAGTACTTAGTAAAAATTTAGGAACAAATCTTTGTGGGAACAATACTCTATTTCATCACTATATTACTTGTTCGATATGTATGCTTGCGTATGCAAAATCGACAACAAAAATTTTAAATAAGGTGATCTTGTACTACGTGTAGTTAAACATATTAAAAGAGGAACCTCAAATTCTAAATTCAACCCAAAATGGGAAAGACCATATATTGTTCATGAGGTGAATAAGAGCGGATATTACAAATTGAAAAATCCGAAGAACAATGCCATCACTGCTCAAATCAATTCTCAATATACAAAGAAGTATCATTTATGAGATTCCTACTTCACTTTTTGTTATATGTAAAATATATAATTTGATTCTTTGTCATCTTGAGTACTTAAATGAAAGCGTCCCAGCTGCAGCTTCATCGCTTTTATATTGGTTGTGTTTTACTATTTATATTTTAGCCGCTAGCTTCATTGCTTATATCTTGGCTGCAATTATATTAGATTATTGGTCGCAAGCTATATCGCTTATTCTTGGACCATAATTTATTATTAATGTTTCTGCCGTTAGCTTTATCGCTCATAATTTGACTGTAATGATATTATGTTATTAGCCGCAAGCTTCATCACTCATCTTTGGCCTTAGGTTATTACTCATAAATTAGTCACAACCTTTATGCTTGTTTATTTAAAGGGATGAATTAATCTCCTTCATGTCAAGTTAGAGTTAATCTCCTTTAGGAAAAGTTGAGAGTTACACTTTGGCCATATACAATAATATGAAATGTGAATAACTATGTGACTTGTGTATAGCATTATTATTATTGCAAAAGAAAAAAAATTTTGATATACCAATAGCAAAGTACTAGCTCAAATGAGCTTTCAAATAAAGTAAAAAAAAAAAAGCAAAAGCCTAGCCAACTAGATACTCTATAGAGAAGAATTACTATTCTTAATATTGGCAAAGGTATTTAATTATTTTTGCACTTTAGCTTCATACTTTCTTAGTGCAACTATCTTTGTTGCAATGTCTTCTTACTCATTTTCTAAGGAAAACTTGTCAAGAAAAACCTTGACTTTAGATATATAATTACTGAGGCACTCAAGCTTGAATCCAACGTTACAAGCATCATCAAAATCTCGTAACATCTGTTGCAATTCTTTCGGTGAAGTACTCATTAATGAAGCATGAGAAATGGTTAAAGCTTTACCTAACACTTCCATCACTAAGCAAATGACGTTTACGTTCTTTACAAAGTAGATACTCCAAAACTCTCTCCATATATTGAAAACGTGCTTTAAGTAGTCCACATACTCCGATGAGACTTGAAAACCATGGAAGTCAACCTTCCTACCACTCTGTTCAGTATGTGCTATTTGAGTGCTAGAAACACTATTAGTATCTCCCTGTTCTGGCATTGGGGAAGAAAAAGCATGATGATTAATTGGAGTAGCTTTAGCATCATCAATATCAACACCAACATCATGAATAATCTCAACATATAGAGTAGCTTCAGGGACAACTTTAACACCAGGAATAGCCTCAGTGTTAAGAACAACCTCATCTTGAAAAACTTGGGAAGCAAGAATTGTCTTAATTTAAAAAAAAAACTAATGGAATAACATCAATTGGAGTAACATAGTAATATTTTTTTACCTAGTTCATAATGGAGCTTTAAACATAAGAAAGAAATAAAACATCCAACTCAATGAAATCATCAAAACGGGTTAGGTCACCCTCAACTTTAGCCTTATTAATGTCAATAGACTTTTCATCAGATTCATTACTATGTTTAAAGCCACATGATTTCTCCTCAATCTCTATTTAAGAAGTTTCTTCTTGTTCAAATGAATTAAGTTCTACTTTTGTAGTTGATTCTTCTTAAAGAAAAAAAAAGACAAACAAAATGAAGAAATGAATAAAAAAGAGTGTGGAATAAGAAACAAAAGATGAACTTACTTTTCGATAGACATGTTTGTCCTTTGTTCGCTGAGTAAGAGCATGAAGAGTAGTATCTTCTTCTTCAGTTATGTTTTTCTTCTTTTTAAGATGAATCAAGCATAAAAATACATCAATGTTACTTACATGAGGAACGTAGAGATGAGCCTTAGGATTAGTTAATGGCACAGTGAAATATCTCTATTCTTTAAGACATTCACTCCAATAAGCAAACCATCCAGAAGTGTGGATACCAACTTTATCAAAAGCTAGGACAATACAACTTTTAAGTTTATCTAAACGAAGTTTAAAGTCCTGCCATGAGGAATGAAAAAATACAAGAAGAAAAACTAATAGATGAAGAAGAGTCAGGTGGAGTTAGTTGGTCAAATCCAAATTAACAAATCACTCTATAAGGAGAATACACCTTGACAGAATGAAAGTCTCTATCTCTACCAAAACTACAACTCTCAATCACAAAAGGCAGTTGGGAATTATGAACCCATATACAAAAGTTAATATCTCGTGAGGTCATTATTCTTGGCTATAGAGGATGGTGGTCATAATAAATTTTAAGATCACCAAATCCATTTATATGTTATACATAAGGTTTAGGATTGAATTTTTTTTTGTTCGATCCATCATTTCAGGAACATTACACCTCGATAGTCGATCATGCCATGCCCAAGCTTTATAACTGTTCCTGGATAAAGAGTTATTCATGGAAAAATATGCAAAAGGATATGTATTGGGTATAGGAGCACAAGTACCAAACCTTTCCCATAGGTACATCTAAATGAAGGAAGCATCGACATAAGTTAAAACTTTATAACACCTAGCTGACTTGACGATTTTGAGTTAGAACAAGTCAAGTATTTTATATAAAGATCCTAAATATAGTGGAGCAGGAGGAAAATGTACTCCCTTGACAATTTTTATTGTTAAAGGAATAACTGCTGAAGAAATACCATCATCTGGATACCTTGGGAGTACGTGTCATGCCAACCAAAAGATTATTAAAGCCACTAGTTTGTGTTTATGGTTTACGTACTTTGGAGGACCAATTTCAATTCCCTTAG